CTAAAAAATTTGTAAACCACTTAGAGAGGGCTGAAAACCCTATGAAGCGGTATATAAGTCTAATAAAATAAATAAATAAATAAATAAATCTTAGTGAGTCCTGGTAACTTGCTATTATTACAGTTTCATGACGTTAATGTTGGAATTGGAAACAGATAATTGCTTCCTGTGACAACCTGGACAGGATCGTATTATTGACAAAAACAGATTTTGTCCAATTTCCTTGATTACACATATGAATATTTCAATGGAAAGTACGTACAGTACATTCATGATAACATGATTTCCATGAACTGACATGTCATTATGGATGATGTTTCTGAATTATTCTATTATATTTAGAAAATAAGCTTCTTTAGAAATGCTGAATAATTAGACAAATTATTTCCTTTTATATCTTTTGGATGTATTTTTGTTGAAAACTAGGCAGCTAGTCAAGAAAACTATGGACTCTTCTGAAATAAGATCACCAAATAATTGCTTGGAAGGAGTTAGTAGTGGATGATGTTTGCGTTTGATTATGGGTTAAAAATCACAAAAGTGTATGAGGTTCTGACTAGATGCAAAATGATTGTATTTGGATCTGGAAAGGAAATTAAAATATTACGGGGAAATTTTATTTAAATTGAGTGTAAAGGTAAAGGTTTCCCCTGTCCAGTTATGTCCAACTCTAGGGGGCAGTGGTCATCTCTGTTTCTTAGCTTATGTGGCCAGCATGAGTATACTGTGAGATTCATGGAACACTGTTATTGACTGATGGGGAACTTCTACTATTAAGAAGCATGACATACTGACATTTTCAAAACTAAGTATATTGTAATTTAAGATAATTAAAGGATGAGATGCTATCTTGAACATTGCAGTGGAGGATAGAAGCTTTTGGTCAGCATCCCTGGGTGTGGTTTTATATTTCTCCATTCCATAAGCACCACAAAGGCCATAGCAATAGCACTTAGACTTATATACCGCTTCACAGTGCTTTACAGCCTTCTCTAAGCAGTTTACAGAGTCAGCATATTGCCCCCAATAATCTGGGTCCTCATTTTACCCACCTTGGAAGAAAGGAAGGCTGACTCAACCTTGAACCTGGTGGGATTCAAACTGCCAGATTGCAGGCTCTTGTACGTACATAGAATATACATAAAATATTAAAAAACATTTCATAGAAAATTAGATGATAATAATAACAATACAAAATAATGATGAAACCTTATCAGAATATTAAAACCAATAAAAATAATTAAAAAACCTAATTAAAGAGATGTGACTTAACTTCTGAGAAGGTGAAACCAGTCCCAAAGGTGCTTCTTCAAGAGACAACTGGACTTTCTTGTTTTTCTTTGAAGATGTTTTACTTCTCATCCAAGAAACTTCTTCAGCTTTGACTAGATGGTGGGGAATGGAAGGATTTAAACTCCTTGAAGACAGCTGGTCATTTGCACTTTTTCTAGACAGTCATTGAGGCCACTTGGAGGTTTGTTTGCATCCTTAGGATCACCTGAGTGGTGCAAATGGGTGTGGAGGCTTCTTGGAGGCTGTTGAAAGGACTATTTGATAGACTGGAGATAGATGATGTCATATCTCTCACCCTCTGTTGAGAAGAGCTGCTCAATTTTGACCTAGATGGCTTCTTTGACCCCTCTTTCAAACCAGAAAACACTAGAAACCAGTGTTAACTATGAATTGAGTACTACAAGAATTATATATTACACACACATACACGCACACGCACGCACATGCACGCACGCACACGCACGCACACACATGCACGCACGCACCCTCCCACATAAAATCAAAACTTGATTTCTGGTTAAACTTATAAGAAGCGAAGCACTCCCTTAGGTAATGAAACCTGAAAGGTTTAATACTTAAATACAAACTGAATCTGGAAAACAGACTGGCAACTGGTGTAGACTTTTCTTTATCACACTAACGCATTGAGGAAATTAGTTGAAATGACCCAATCCTTTTCCAGGATATCCCTTTATAGAGAGTACTGCAGGAATCCGCACATGATATGACCCAGGCATGGATAACGGTAACCAGATTCAGAGTGAGGTAGTGTGTTAATCAAAGATGTATCAGATCACAAGAATAATCATTGCCAAATTAGCTAGATGTAGGAGATAAGCAGAGTGGGCTGGAATGTGTGGTTAAATATATCATCAGTTTGGAATCCTTGTGCTTCCACAAGAGACTTAAGTCCAGCCTTCCTTAAATTCTGTTGACCCTTATCTAGTGCCAATTTGACTGTTAGCTGACCAGATTCTTGTATATGGGTAAAGGTAAATGTTTCCCCTGTCCAGTGATGTCTAGGGAGCAATGCATTCATAAACATTAGAATTCAAAAGTGAAAAACAAGATGGAATATTAGAATACTTTAATTGGAAATACAGGTAGTCCTTGACTTATGACCACTTGTTTTAACAACCTCTGTAAGTTACCATGATGCTGAAAAAAATGATTTACAATTGGTCCTCACACTTATGACCATCGCAGGGTCCTCACAGTCACAAGATCAAAATTCAGGTGCTTGGCAACTGGCATGTAATTATAAAGATTGCAATGTCCTGGGATCATGTGATTGTTCTTTGCAATCTCCCCAATAAGAAAGATCTAGAGCAGTGATGGCTAGCCTTTTTGTTGTGGCGTGCTGAAAGTGTGTGCATGCGCACCCATAATGCAATACGTGTGCGACCCTCCTCACTCCCCACTTCCTACATGACCCCAAATACCCGCCGCCCC